TACTAAATTTGAGTTGGAAATATTAGAACCCGCCGTGGCACCTCCAAAAAGGTTACACGTTCACGCGTCGTATACCTGGAATAATTTTAAGGTAAACTTAGAGCGATTGATATCTTTCGTATGCCTAGCGCGCAGACGATATTTTATAATTTCATAGTTTTAAACGGCCTAAATACCTTAACTCGCTTAAGAAATAACGAGCTATAATGAACTGGGCACAGAAATAAAATCTAACATCATTAAATTATTTTCCATATTTGTATAAAAGCGCGGGGTGAAACCCGCGGGTATAAGCTAGTAAATGTTATAAATGTGAAAGTTTAAATGTTTGGATGTTTGAGAAATCATCACGCGGAAACGACTGCACGGATTTGCATGAAATTTTGTACACAGATAGCTTATCGGCCAGATTGGTTAATAGGCTATTTTTTTAAGAGTTGCCACCTGTTAAAAAAGTTTCATTTATTTAATATGCGGGAACGACTGAATGGATTTGCATGAAAATTTGCACACAGATAGCTTATGACCTAGATTGGAAAATAGGCTACTTTGCTTATGAGTTGCCTCCTGCTAAAAAGTTTCATTAAATTAATACGCGGAAACTACTGAATGGATTTGGATGAAATTTTGCGAGCAGATAGCTTATGACCTATAGTGGAAAATAGGCTACTTTTCTTAAGAGTTGCAACCTGTTAGAAATGTTTAATTTAATTAATACGCGGAAATGAGTGAACTGATTTGCATGGAAGTTCTCACACAGATAGCTTATGAGCTAGGTTGTAAAATAGGCTACTTTTTTAAGAGTTACCACCTGCTAAAAAAGTTTAATTAAATTAATACGCGGAAAAGTCTGAACGGATTTGCATGAAACTTTTCAAGCAGATAGCATATGACCTTCAGTGGAAAATAGGCTAATTTTTTGGAAGAGTTGCCACCTGTTAAAAAAGTTTTAATTATATTAATACGCGGAAACGACTGAACAGATATTCATGACATTTCGCACAGAGCTAGCTTATGACCTATGTTGGAAAATAGGCTACTATTTTAAGAATTG